TTTGGGGTTGTTGAAGCCACAGGCTTGCCGCGAAGGTGTTTTTTGTAAGTCTGACGTGGCTTCCTTTTAAAACAAAAATACCACCTTAAAAGAAGTTTTGAAGTTGTTACCTGAAGTGCTTCAGCGTGTGTAATTTTTAAACGACTTCACTGAAAATGTGTTTGCCGTTAAATGTGGACCATAACTGACTTTCCATCAGAAAATGGATGAAATGGCAGTCTTCGTTAGCTCGTAAGCTCGTAAGCTGTGGACAGGCCAAAAGAGACGGCGTACTTCAGTGAAATTCCCGTTAGCATCTCTTCTGAGGCAAACCTTGGGGAAAAAAACAGTATCTGAAATCCTGAGAAACTTGCATTTATTTACCAAAAAATACTTCTTTTTTTGTTAGTCTGTCTAGCAAAATGTTGAGTCAGTGGCAAAACTTTATGAATCATGCCTAGATCTTGTCTGCATGACCATGATTAGTTCATACGCAGGGTGTTGTGCTCCTGTCGCTTTCCTGGAGTCTGAGAGAGAGCTGTGCTTCTTATGGTGTGCAGAATGATCACCCTCTTCTGGCTTTCCTGAAGGTCTGGGAGAATCATCTTCTCACCGACCACCTTCCCCACCGCCAGTACTCTTCTGCCTCTGCTGCTCTTCTCAAGGTGGACATATGTGACAAGTGTCATTTTCTTCTGGACGCATTTTGCAAGTGTAAATACTGTTTGCAAGAAAGCATGGCATTAAAACCCAAACAAAAAGACTTTACACAGATAATGGTGTGCAGCGGGGGGCATTTGACTAACACTTAAAACAGGAGTGGGAGATTGTTTGAAAGCCTTAATGTGTGGAGATGGCCAGCGAATACAATTGGAAAACCAAATCTCAAATCTGTAGCCACTCAGGAGAGAGGCTTAGGTGCAACTTGAAACTTTTTTGTTTTCAGACTGCTACACTTTTTTGAAAAAAGCATGAGTGCTGGAGTGTTTTGATGGCATCGGGCTAGTGTTTGGAGGCTTAATAGTTTGTGGAGTGGGAATGTTATCTTAACCTAACCTCCTTAGAACGCATTTTGAAAGAAGTACTCTTAAGAACTGAAATTCTTGTTTTTGGTGGAAGAACTTGTACCATTTTATTTTTAAAAGGAAGTAAAAGACTTTCTCATTGCATCGAGTACAAGCTTTGATAATATGAGACGTTAATGGTTTAAATTCTAGTCTTACAAGACACTGTTTCTGATAGGCTTGGCGTGTTGGGTAGCTTAGAAAAATGAGTTCCTTCTGGTTTTCTTTGTTCCTTCAAATCCAAAGCTTAGTTCTGGGTGTAAGATCCTTTCAACTTAGTTTGCTTCAATTTGATTGGTTTTCCATTTCAACACTTCCATTAATTAGACTGGCTTCGTTCTGTAGTAATCAGACAAGCTATCATGCCTGAAATAAAAGTTGGTAGTTCTGTTTGTGCTGTGTTCATTCATAAGCCAGCCTGGGTTTGGATTTCCCATTGCAGTTATAGGCCACTCTGATTCCTCTTGCGTTAATGTTAGAGACGTTGTTGATCTTGCAGTCCTGTTGCATGACTGTGTGGATTAGGACATTACATAATTCGTGAACATTTTTTAAATCCACTCTGTTTCAGAGTTGGTAGATGTCCCGGTCGGGTGTTGGTTGGTGGTAGTTTTTATAGTCACTTTTATGTAAGTGGCTGTTGCTAAGTAGAAATATTTCTACCTAGTAGAAGCTGTCATTCATTTTCAGCTGTAGTGTGGCTGGATTCCTTGAAGAGCCGGCCTTCTGCCTACTTTAAATTCTGGTGGCAGTATTGAAGCCTGGGTCTGTAGAACTGTTTGAGCTGGAAACAATGCTATACACAGTGTATCAGCCCACGGTCTCAGCTCTTAGGTAGTAAGAAGCAGTTTCTCAGCCTTGAGTGCTGATCTCAAGGAGAATCAAAATGGTTTGTGACAAGTTTTGTTAGTTTAGAAAAACCACACACCCAAAACAAAACAAAAAACCTCTCAAAACCATATTTAGTTGCTAAGCAACTCACAGCTGTGCCCTGCTGATTATGTTGTGGAGGATCCATAAGGCTCATGGGCTCCCACACTAATGTGAGATAAAGCACCCTTTTATCAGAACACTGCCTCAGGAACATGGAGTTCTCGCTCTTTTCTTTAGAGGGTATTGTCGAAGAAAAGGTAACACCCAATGTTTTGTGCAGACAGAAAGAAAAGAGATAGCAAGGTAACATCCCGCTCAAATTTTTCATGGGTTCTCTTTTCCATGGTGTTCACCTCAAGGTTCAGTGGAAAGACTGTTCCATTTGTGCAGCAGTGCAATAACAAAAAAGGCTGGTTTCTTTGGAGACAGTGTTGAGCTTGGCAGCAGTTCACCCTCTCTGTTTGGCCTTTTTTTTGTGTGTGATAGTTGAGGATGGGGATGATGAGTAGAATGAGGAAGAGTCTGTCACTGAAGAGGGCCTAAGGCAATGGGGAAGCTTGAATAGAAACCATTAGACTTGGGAAACTAATTCTGGAAGAGAAAGTCTGATAAATAAGCAAAAACTAAGGTGAAACTAAGGTCTTGATGGAACTGTGATGGATATCAGTACTTTCAACAGGCCTATGATGTTTTAAAATCAGTCACTTAAACTTCTGCTGCTTAAAAATGTATATGTGGGATTTATTTGAAGAAAATATTTGGATTCTGAACAGCAAGATAAGAATGTTATAAAAAACTTCTGTAGGTCTAGGTCAAATTTAGGGTGAGTTAGCTGCAAAATAAACATGAGGTATAACAGAAGTGAGGTTCTGTACACAATTTTCACGTGTGTGTTTGTGAGAAAGGAAATTAAATTGTTGCTTAGGAACCTTAATTAACTTACTCAATAATCAGATAATTCCCAGTTAATAAGTTTCAGCGTTCCAGAATCTGACCATGGACCATTTTGCAGTCAGTTGTATTTATTCATCCTTGGGTGGTGGTCAGAATCCTACAACTAGTTCTGTAGTGAATTGCCCAAACTAGTTTGATGCCTCCAAGAAGTGAAGCCTACTAGCTCATGTAGAACTGTGAGAAGTGTAGGAATGGTTTTGTATTGTTAGAGTTCATATCTTATCTCCTTAAGAAGAAAAGGAGAGTCCTGGTGGTCAGTGAAACATATTTTCAAAGTAGGTCTGGTAAATACATGTGGTATTTGCATTTGTTTCTTTTGCTTCTCCTGTTCTTTACCACAAGAATAGCTACAAATGTGTGTAGCACTGCAGGACGTAGAGCCCACTGACCTGAGAAATCTAATTGATCATTATTAACTGGAGTTTGTCTCTTGCAGGGACAAAGAAGAAAGCTGCTTGTCCAGGACTTGGTCTGTTTTATACTGTACTGTCTGCCTTCCTTTTCTCAGTGGCCTCTTTATTTCTTAAAAAAATAGAAGATGTACATTCAGTGGAAGTGAGTGCGTTTCGATGTGTTTTCCAAATGGCATTTGTTCTTCCTGGTTTAATATACTACAAGTAAGTGTAGCAAATGTTTAAACTTAAAGTTATTTCTTAAAAATAGATCTAGAATTATCACTCACTTAAATCAGATTGTAATATTACTTTAATTCAGACCAGTTGCGTAATTGCATTGTTTTGGATTACCTGATATTTTATTTAATAGAGTTCAGAAAACTGAAAAATCTTGAATCCCTGAATTGTAGAGGTTTCTACAGGGTTCATATCAAATGTATTGATCTTCATGAAGTGGTGTTCTTAAAACCAAAAAATAGACGGTAATTTGTAGATACTCTTGGGTTATTTTGCAAGCAAAAAATTAATAACTAGAAGAATAGGTTCCGGACTTTGAATGTGATTGGGGGTGGTGATGGGAATAAACTGGTCTGTGATCAGTTAAAAATATTTTGACATTTGAGATAAGTCCCTCAGTCTAGAAAGGTGTGTATGATTAAATGTGATTGGATATTGGTCATGAAATAAGCAAACCAGTGACATTAATGTGACATTTCTGTTTTTTCAGAACCGGGTTTTTGGGACCAAAAGGTAAAAGAATTTTTCTTTTCTTCCGAGGACTCCTTGGCTCTAGTGCAATGATTCTTCTCTACTATGCTTTCCAAGTCATGCCACTAGCCGATGCCACTGTTATAACTTTCAGCAGTCCTGTTTTTACATCGTTGCTGGCATGGATCTTTCTCAAAGAGAAATACAGCATTTGGGATCTTCTGTTTACCCTCTTTGCAATCACTGGAGTGATTCTTATTGCCAGACCACCATTTCTGTTCGGGTCAAACGTTACGGGGATCGAAGGAAGTTACACCGATCACCTTAAAGGAACTGTAGCAGCAATTACAAGCACACTATCTACAGCTTCGACTTTCATTATACTAAGGAAAGTGGGAAAATCTGTGCATTATTTTCTGTCAATTTGGTATTACGCAGTCATTGGTTTCATTGGATGTGTTGTAGCGTTATTTGTTATGAATGAATGGCGTTTACCATATTGCGGTAAAGATAGGGTTCTTCTAATATTAATAGGCGTGGTAGGGTTAGGTGGTCAGATATTTCTCACAAAAGCATTACAGATAGAGAAGGCTGGACTTTTAGCCATAATGAAAACAATGGATGTGGTGTTTGCTTTTATTTTACAAATTCTTTTTCTTAATCATCTCCCAACTTGGTGGACTGTGGGTGGTGCTCTCTGTGTAGTAGCTAGTAGTTCTGGAACGGCCATTCGTAAGTGGCGACAAAGCTTGAAAAAAGCTAAGCAAAATGAAATCTAACAATACAGACACTAATTCATTACAGAAACAGGCAATCTTGAAATATATATACAATATTTATTTTTATTTATTTGAAATATCTCATTTACCAAATTGTAGTACCAAGTTATATCCAATAAAATAAGTTGATTTAAAAAAAAAAAAACACCAAAATTGAAGATGTTTTAACAACTGATTAGGTATATGCTTTTCTTTCTCGTATTTAGGCATGCAAATATGAGAAGTAGGAAGATATTTAGACGTTGCTTGCTTCCTACCAAAAGCAGATAATAGCTTTTTTGGCATTTTATTTTCCTAAAATTCCTGAGTCTCCACTTCTTAGACCCTTTCCCTTTTCTGCTGAGCAGTGGGAATCAGTCTCCCAGGCTTACTTAATATTATTCTGTGCTTGATTGCCAGAGGGATTGCAGAACAAAAGTTAGAGTGAAACAAAGAGTTATAATCCTATAAACATCCAACTTTTATAGAACAGCTAAAGCTTGCCCATTTACAAGCTTGAGATTCCCCGTCTGAAACAGATGCCAAATGGGGATTTATTGTTAGTCTGGATTCCAAAAGAACAAAGGATATTTCACCTTTCCAAGTAATATTAAGAGAAAATTAACTTGTGAAAATTACCTATTGGCTTTGATTTCTTTAAAAAAAAAAAAAAAGTTTGCACTTGCTTTACAGACATAATGAAGCAACCTAATCCCTTTTTTTTGTAACGTGATTTTCCCAATGAACCTGTCTTTAGTTGCTGCAGTCTCAGTGATGAGAGACAATAGTTAATGGTATACCACCCGTAAATGAGCCATTTCTTGTGGTGTGGAATAGTATGCTATAGCTGCACTTTTCTTTGTTCTATGCAAAATACTAAATTTTTTAGGTATTTAGTATTGGTTTTTTTAAATGCTGCTTATGACCCTTTTGTTTAGATTCTTTTGTACAAAAGTTCTTTATGAGACCAAGTTTAAGACTTCTTGGCCTTTATGAAGTTAGGCAAATGCTTTATTTTAAATCCTCCTATATCTGAAGAATTTACAAGAGTTCAGAGTAATTGCAGTTTCACAGAAAATGCAGGTTGGCCAGGGTCATAGTGGAGAACAGAACAGGTTTGAGGAGAGCTTGGTGGGAGGGTGGAGCTACGCACGTGCATCCCATGACATGGCAGCATCCGCACAACATCAGGCAGTGCTAGCGGGCAGCATCAGCCCCATGTCTCCAGCTGGCCCTCTTAAATCTGCACTTAGTCACTTCTCTTACACACCTTCTCACTTCTGTAGGCCTTATCTTGATAGCAACAAACACTAAGAAAAAAGGCTTCTGTTACTGATCTTGGTGTCTTTCATGTTTAGGGAGAAATATATGTTTATTATCAGGTAGGTGATTTTCCCAAATGGAGTTTTACGTACGTTTGGGTCTCAGTAGTGCTTAAAGAAAAATTTAACTTGGATCTTTATTTGGTCCTTTGTATCATGAGGTGTTTTTCAGTTATTTACTGACTCCAGTGTTTTTCTAAAGGAGAATGCTGTGCTCTGTAGACTTGATACTTGGTTTTTTTTTGAAAATCACTAAAGGTGGCAGATGCTTTCTTGTTTTGATTTATAGATGTCTAGTCACACATCATTTCTTTTGCCAAAAAGCATTGCATCCTGGCAGGGCAGATCTAGAGACCTGAGTCCGGGAGGTCTGGAATGTGTATAGTACTTCGAGATGCATCTGGAAGTTGGGAGCCATCTTGGCACAAGATTCTGTACATAAACCAACGCCCTGAATCCATGTGTGTCTATGGACAGGAGAAGTTTCCACTTCAGCAGTACAATCAGTTCCTGCTTAGAGCTGCCCATTGTCTGCTTCTCCTGAAGGCTGAAGTTCAGCTACTGCTGACAAGGTCAGGAGTAGTATGAAACCACTTTCACATCTCTTTAAAGCCTGATGTAAGAATAAAATTCCAGTTTGGCACCCGTTTGTTTCACTTAATACTTGAAACTATAAACTGGGATGGTTTCTTCTGCTGCTCAGCCATCACTGCCATTAAGCAACAGCTTTTGGGGAGCGGAGGAAAATAGACTGCATTTTGTACTGCTTCGCTGCATGTTTAACATGCATGTGTTTGAACCGACACTTACAAAGCTGTGGTTCCAAAGCAGTTCAGATTCATGTAAATTTCGGTTGTCAGCTAGTCCTGGTCCCTCCTGTTGGCTCAGTGCTCGTGGTTTGTGTGGTGAGCTGGCTCTGGGAGCTGATCCAGCTGCATAACTGCTTAGTAAGGTTGTTGAAGAGGGCAAAACCAGAGTAGCCTGGACTTGATGACAGTGTGAAAACATTAGGAAGAGGAATTAGATAATAGTTTAAATTACAGTGTATGAATGCTGCTTTGTCGGTATGGAGTAAATATAATGTGGAAGCTTATATCGAAAAATCTTTAGGTCGTATGATTTCAATGAATTTAGGTTATGCTGAGTAGAGGACAAGAGACTACTGCAGAAAGGACTCTTTTCTTGCCCTTAACACAAGAGCAAGTGCAGAAAATAAGCTGACCTGAAATCATCAACCTGATACAGTGATTAGTGATTTTTCTCTCAAGTTCTGGCAGAAACTCGTGCTATATTTCCATACCGGTAGTGCCAAAAACCCCAGATGTTTTTTTTTTTTCTTTGTGCAAACCTGTAGGGTTTCCTTATGGGCTCCATCTGTTTATTTCCTTTTGCTGTTTATAAACTTCCTTAAACACTTAAGTTAAAATAATAATCTGAACAAGATCCTATGTTGGAGAACATTTTATTTTTTGGAACATTATTTTGATTTTGATCCATCTTTTAGAGAACTCTTTAACTGGTGTGAGAATGAAAGACTTGACTAGGGCTTCTCTAGTCATAAAGCATGACAAGCTAGCTTCTCTGACTAGCTCTTGTAGATGATTTTGGGAATGGAAGACGTTTAAGCTTTAAGTTTCTTCAGGCATCTCAATTTTTTAATTTTTCTGCCTCTCGGATGTAGGTCAAACCGCTAAATTTTAGTTGGAAGCCTTGAGGAGGATGAAATTATACAAAAGTATGGATACCCTGAAATGTTGGGGTTTGTTGTAATAAAAAATATTTCTTAGAATTCCTAGGCTTAGCCTTGATTCTTTCAGATTCTGATTTTTCCTTTTTTCTTTTTTTTTAAATTTTTTTCTTAGATGGATTTTTGCTTTCAAAATCTTTTTTAGCTTTTTAAGTTTTAATACAGAAAGTTTCTCAGGGTGAAATGTGATTTTTCTGAGCTTTGAGTCAGAAATACATTATTAATGTTCATCACCTGTAGTGTCCTGTTGTGATCTTTACCGTATTTTTAGTTCGATAAATGTACTTTTCTTATAGGAAGTCCTCCCTTTGTAATATGATGAAATATTGTTGCATTGCAATTGCGCTTGAATTTCAACATACCAATTCAATGTATCGATTTCAGTGGATCCTGAATAGAAAGAGTAATAATTAATTATTGGTTCTTTTGCACATAAACACAGGGTAAAATGGTTTAGTTGTTACTGATGCATCACAAGCATGTTTCTTATGTTCTTTACTATGCAAAACACTGTAATCGTCTGTTGTCTTCAGTGGGACTTTGTAGCCTTAAAGCCTTATGTACCTGACTCTTCTATAGAGAGTTGATGGCCGGAAAAATGTATGTACTGTCGCAGTGCAGTAGCCAATTTCTTTCAGGTTAAGTTAGTTCTCAAAGTATGCTATAAAACTCTCTAAATACATCTACACTAAGAATTTGACAAGTTCATTGTGTAGACGAGGGCAGTTTACATAATTAAAATGGATTTCCTGCATTTGTCCAACACTGGACATGAAGTAACCTCAGCATAACAGCACTGGTGAAATAACTAGTTCAATGTGTCATTTTTCTTCTGAAACCTGAAACTAGGCTCTTTCCCAATTCCAAAAACTGTTCTAAGATGGCTCTTCCTGTAATTGATAATGACAAGATGGCTAATACAATCCTTGATCATCATTTAGTATGTAGTATAAACACTTCCCGCCCATTATTTTCTCTTCCTTGAGCTTTTGTTCAAGAGCTGTCTGTTGGAAGAAAGTTTATTTCTAGAGAGGCAGCCTCTTCAAAAGTTACTTCCTTACTAACTAGCAGTAGTTAACTAGGAAGAGTTTGTTTTCCACTTCTCTAACCACGGTAGGCTCATCTGTGACATCAGTTGCAGGAGGGTGGTGGAAGCATGATCTCTGTCCCCGCGTGGATTCCGGGATGGCAATGCCGACAGCAGATGTGCAGCGCTGACTTCACCAGGACGTTGCAGTTACCAGCAGAATGTTTTTTGTGATCATAACTGCCTGTGCATCCAAAGAAAAGTTGTGGCTTTATGTTCCTGCAGATGCAGGTAACTTCAGGGTGGAACATACATAGACTTCTATGGTGATAACACTTCTGTTTATCAGAATGAGTAATTTCCTATGTCATGTTAGTTACCGTTTGACAAAAAGGAGGTAAAAATACCCTCAGCATTAATTAAACAATTTTTACTACATGCTATATATTGTTAAATATATGTTGAATGATATGTTTTGTAGAAGTTACTGGCTTTATTATGTAGTAGTATATTTTTATAGACAATTCTTATATATTGAAATGTTAAGAATATTTTCATAAGAGATTTATATTCATCATTGCTAATAAAATGAACCTGAAGAATTACTCTCTGGTTTTGCATTGATTAGTAGAACATACTTGAATGTAGTGATTGTAAAAGCTTTATGAAATAACTATTAAAGTCCCTGTTAAATAAGAACATATGCCTCAAATTCTGCTACTATTAGCATGCTGCGTCACTTTTTGTGCCTTGCAACAAGCTAGAGATGAAAAGAAGCAATTTCTTAACTGGAAACACTGTGGCATTGACAGGTCAGTAAAGTTACATTTTCCTGCGTCCAAGTGGCAATTTGTTTTTCTGAGGTTTTTTTGGGCTTTTTTTGTTTTATTTCTGTACATCATGATTTGAATTCAAGCGTTGTCCG